GTGTACCTACTACATAATCTGGACATGCCATACGAGGACTTATCATTAAATCAGTTGATGCAGAACCATTTCATAGAATCACAGAATCATAGCATGGTTTGGGTTTGAACTGCACCACACAATTTTCACATCACTTCACCAGCCCTTTTCTTGACAATTCTATGCACGCAGTGACAGTTGTTTCTGGTGGCATTAAGGTCTTCTCTAAGTCATTGATTTCCAAGTGAGAACCACCATGCTGAAGCTATAGTTCACATTTTATGCTCTGAGAAACCTCTGATGCACTCAGAGAGTGCCTTAGAGAACAATGACCTGGTGAAAAATATGATAGATATACAACAGCCAAATGGCGATGAACAAATGTTAATGACAGATTTCCTGTCCACCCTTAAACATAATTCCACCACAAGATGGTCTATTTTGTTAAAAACACACTTAAAAAGTCCTCAAACTTTCCCCCCTTATTCTAGAAAGGCTGGGAAGCTTGTGTAAAAATCACATTTCTTGTTTGTTGCTCTCCTTGTATTGAACTATGCAGTTTCCCTCCAGACTTAGATCAGAGGCCACCAGCTAGAATGTCTGATTGCACAAACTTTTTGGTCACAGTTCACAAACCAACCCTAATGGAGAGATCCCAAATGCCCTCAGAAAAATCTACTTCCAGTTTCCTATAATTTTATTTAAAACATCCTGCCTGTGAATGTGTTGTCAGTTTAAAAAAAGCTCATGCAGTGACCCAAAGCCATGAGCATCCCATAGCTGGTAATTGGCCTCAAATCAACTTGTTTTTGCCTCAATCATTTGTCAGTGGCTCGATTAATTGCAGATTCCACTCTTGCTAAGCAATATCAGGAAAAAACAAGTAAGAATAATGAATTGTCATGAGATCTCAAAGATTATTCCTTCTTAGTGAAAGCATTTTATATTTCCAACTTCTATAACATGATAGTTTACTTGCAGAGAGAATATTGCCTCCCTTTGGTGTCTGTATTCCCTCTTCCTCCCCAAATCCTTGCCTCACTCCCTCCCTTGCCACAATGAACAATGTTCTGGGCATCAGCCATGGCACTCTAGAGGGCTCGTACCAGTAGCTGCAGTCATTGGATATCACGAAGAATAATTTTGCTTCATGATTATGTTATTACAAGAGGTAGAGAGAAAAGAAATTGGAAAAAAAATATTGTTTTTAAAGTTAAATCCTCAAGCACTTGTAAGCAATGAGCAGATTAAGGCTTTTAATAAGCCTTTAATGCATGGAATCATATAAATATTAGTTGGAAGAAGCTTCTGGACGTCTCTAGTCCCAGGAAAAATTTCTCAAGGGACACAAATGGACACCAGTAGTGGCAGGAGGTTGCTAGTGTTTTCTCTGATGCGACATTAAAGAAGGCTGAGAAAGTTGGGATTGTTCAGCCTGGAGAAGAGAAGGCTCCAGAGACACCTTATTGCAGCCCTTAAAGAGGGCTTATAAGAATGATGGGGATAAACTTTTTAGCAGGGCCTTTAGCAATAGGACAAGGAGTAATGGTTTTAAACTAAAAGAGGGGAGATTTAGACTAAATATAAGGAAGAAAGTTTTTACACCGAGGGTGATGAAATGCTGGCCCAGGTTGCCCAGAGAGGTGGTAGAAGCCCCATCCCTGGAAACATTCAAGGCTGGACAGAGCTCTGAACAACCTGATGTAGCTGAAGATGTCTTGCTCATTGCAAGGGCTGGACTAGATGACCTTTGAAGATCCCTTCCAACCCAAACCCTGCTATGATTCTGTGAAAACTGAATCAAGATAACAAAGGCTTTTTTGCCAAGAGAAGATGGCAGGGGGGTTGGAACTGGATGATCTTTAAGGTCCCTTCCAACCCAAACCAGTCTGTGATTCTATGATTCCATAAGTGTCGTTCAAAGAAAGGTAAGATTCCCTCCACATTATCTACTTTCACAGCTAGTGCAACAGAAAGAAGGACATACAGGCGTGACAAACCTCTGATTCATTTGATTTTTTGGTAACACCCTCTTGAAAATAAATTCTGCTGAATATGAGACAATGAATTAACAGAAAGAACTAACTTGTTATATGGGAAAACTTCAGCAATTAGGAACATCATATTCTTCCTGCAGTTATGTAGAATTACTTCAGATTCCCTCTATCAATATTAGGATATGTAATTCAAATTTATTTATTGTACTTGGGATTGTAACCTGGGCCAAAGTTTTCATATCCTGCCTCCTCAAATTTCTTTCTATTTTCTTGTAGCTCTTCTGAGAAGTTTTCTGCAAGCTTATCTCTGTTCTTTCCAGGCAAAAAATTAATTATTTTTAAAAATAATAGCTATGTGGACATCTATACAGCAGCTCTCATTCTTCTGTTTGACTAATCCTGAAGGTCACTTATGATATTTTGAACAGTAAAGTGCCCATTTTTAGAAACAGTCACAGTAAAAATTCTTGTGTTCCAGAAACCAAGAGTGAATGTAAATATAATCAACTAGGGTGATTTTATTATTAGTGGTAAAGTTACAGCTTTGGAAAAATGCTCAGAAGAAAGTTATTCTGTTTAGCTCAGGGAAAAGATGACACCTCCCATGCACAACAAGTACAAGTCTACCAGCAAGGTGTCTTTAATTTGCTTGTTCTGTGAACATCAGATATATAAAAAACTAATTTTATACATATAAAGGGGAGTTATATTAAAGGCTGAGAAACTAAGTATAGAGAGAAATTTCTACTCCTAGTCTTGGTCAAACTTTGACCTGGATTAATTATTGATTTGCTGTGCATTGACCTTGAAACTCGTTAAAATGTTGAGCAAAAACTTCTTTCAAAAAACTTATATATGGTTGAGCTACATGAATGGTCCTCGGCCATCACTGGCCCACAATGATATCGAGAAAGCAGGATGCTGGAAGCAGATCATCCTTTGACTTCCCTGTCAGCCTGAAGAAATAGGTCCTGTTTGCTGCAGCTGTCAGATTCACTGGCAAGCTTTTGTCTTTAAACCGTACATTAGAGACCATTCACCTATAAACACCACACCTAGAGCAGTAAGAGACACAAATTTTACTTTTTCTACCAGGTCTACACACACCTGTTTAGATATGCTCTGAAGAACAAAGAATTGCTTTTTTTGGAGTCTAAACCCAAATACTACTGGCAAACTTGTTGGAGAATATATTAATTTTCATAGAACAATTTCTGTACTAAATACTCTGAAATACTCAAAAATATAACTTTGACCACCTCATCTGAAAAAGGGTATGAAAAACCTAACTGAGGAGAGTCACCTAGAACTGAAAAAACGCCCCAGTTGGAGTTTTCTCCTGTAAATGATATGAATAAAAGGAAACACAGCAGAAGTGAAGGGCTGACCTAGTCAGATTACACACTTTCTTGGAATGTCCTTTTAGGACATTAAAATATTTAGGACATTAAAACCACAACAAAATGAGAAGTAAAGCATCAATAATTTTCCAGTGACTAAGAGGAAACACATTTCTCACTGCAATGCCATAGGCAGTAATAAGATCCTTGGCATGTTAAATATTTATTGTTATATGAAGCTGCTCTTGGAATAAACCGCATTGGGTGACAACTTCTCCATTCATAAGTATCTACTGATCTGGAAGAACTGCTGAGGAACAACTTGGAGTAGAAAATCAGTTAAGGTAGATGATTTTATTTTAGACTACTTTGCTAAATTAATATCAGCTGTAGTTCTTTATTTAAACACAGACTTAGAATAAACATTGTGTTTATTTTTATCGCGTGACATTCAAATATAGTATTTGTGCCAGATACATCGGAAACATTCTGCACTGCATCTCAGTGGTGGAACTCATTTAAGTGATGCAACTAGCCTTTAGTCAGAAAAAAATAAATTCATCACATGCAATGATAGGAGTGAAATTGAATAGGGCGAGTATTCTTTTTCTTCTAAAAATGTATGAGTTACTGAAGTCATGTTAACCTGTCAGTACTAAAGAATGTCCACCATCCCAGGTGGTAGTATAGCAGACACATCTAACTTTATTGAATGAGTACAAGAATCCTTACAGAAGCAGCAAACCAGCCTGTCCTCAAGGAAATGAATTTCTAAGACAGTTGTTTGCAGAGAGTGGTTCTGTAGCTCAAGGGATTTTGGTCAGGCAGGAACATCAGCTGTGAGAACTGGCCTCGGAAAAAGCTGTTGAAAGAAGCCATGTGAGAAAGTTCACACTTGAGCATGCAACAGCACAGTGGTATGGAAGGGATAAATGTTAGGGGACAGTGGAGCACAAGGTCAGGGAATGGATACTCTATGCCATTGGAATATGGCTCCAATTCCACATAAGTCCCTTATGTAACATTTCCTATTGGTTAACTTAATGCCTTCATAAATACCTACCTAATAGAAAGCATCAGACTTGGGGATTTTAGGCCATGTGAAAATTGATATATATGATAATACAGCAATTTTCTCCTTAGCATTAGCTCTGTCCTAAGTAGTCCAGCTGTTTTCATGGGCCAATGAATCAGAAGAAGGAATAAGGGAGAGAGGTGTTAAGGATCAGAAGAACAGAGTTGAGCATGCATTTGAGGATCTGGTGAAAATTTCCCACCTGTAGGTGCCACAGAGTTACCTTCAGTGCCCAAACAGTAGCTATTAGAAAAGGTTCAGGGTGTTTTGGTGATAGTACAACGCCTGGTTGTTGGTCAAGAAATAAGGAGGAACTAACTCAGACCTGAATACTAGAAGTCTACTCATGGAGGAACTAACTCAGACCTGAATACTAGAAGACTGGCATAGGAGATGAGTAGACTTATGGAGAACAGAAGGTGAAAGGTATTATGTGAATCACCAAGCAGCATTAACTTTAGATCCTCCCCTTACATTTCCAACATTACCTTTGAGCCCTGTTTCTTGTCCAGCTCCAAGGCTTTCACTGTAAACAGACCAGTTATAAACTGTAGCTCAAATAAAAAATACCCAAGTGTGAAGTTATCCTCTGTATTCTTGTCATGTGCTATGTTTTATTTGTGGTTCGGGGAGAGACCCTACAAGTGCAGTGAGTGTGGGAAGAGCTTCAGTCGAAGCTCATCCCTCATCCAGCACCAGCACATCCACACTGGGGAGAGGTCCTACAAGTGCAGAGACTGTGGGAAGAGCTTCAAACTGAGCTCATCCCTCATCCATCACAAGTGTATCCACACCGAGGAGAAGCCCTATAAATGCAACGACTGCGGGAAGAGGTTTATCCACAGCTCGTACCTCCTCTACCACCAGCGCATCCACACTGGGGAGAGGTCCTACAAGTGCAGAGACTGTGGGAAGAGCTTCAAACTGAGCTCATCCCTCATCCATCACAAGTGTATCCACACCGAGGAGAAGCCCTATAAATGCAACGACTGCGGGAAGAGGTTTATCCACAGCTCGTACCTCCTCTACCACCAGCGCATCCAC